CTCCCCCAGCCCCGCCCCCCCCCCTCCCCTCTCCCTAATTAAACTGCAGGTGAACCTGCCAGGGTCTGGCCTGGCGCCAGGCACTAAACGCCTCCCTGCAGATCCCGACTTGCCTCCCTGCACCTCCATGAGCATGCCAGGGACAGCCCGCAGCCCTCGCTCCCCGGCCGCCCACGGCCCTCCGAGCCTGCAGCCCTCACTGCTTTCCCCCCGCACCTCCAGGGATGCTGCCCTGGCCGCAGGGTCTCGCTTGCACCCATCAGCTGTCCAGGGGGATGGGGGCGTCCGCAGGGTTGCAGCTGAGCATCCCAAGTGCCCATGTGCACTCCAGGGCCAGGTGGGCAAAGCCCTTGGCTTGCCTGGGGGGTACCGAAAATCCTGCCAGCAGCCCAGCTGCAGCTGCGCCAGGCCAGGCACTGCGGTCTGTGGGCACCAGAGCTTGGCTGGGGCTCTTCAGAGCCGGGCGCCGGGGTCCCGAGCTTGGCAGCATCTCCCTGCATAGCCGTAACAGCACCTGCCTCCCTCAGCACACAGCAAAGCGTACCCAAGCTCCGGTTCACAGCTGGCTGGGCCCCAGCACCTGGTGTTTCCAGCCTTGCAGGGAGTTCCCCTCTCCTTGCTGTAAGAAATCAAGGTTTGGCTGTGGCCACGCAGACCCCTTGGCACTGGGAAGCCCTTCAAAGGAAGGCACAGGGCATGCAAGCATCACCCATCCCTCCAAAGCCTCCAGAAGGAACCAGGGGATACTGCACTCCAGAGCCATGTCCCCTCCAGCCACGCACCCTCAGGGGCCTTCAAGGACACCCAGCCCCTCCATGTGGGTCCTATTTATTTCAGAGCTCCATATAGATGGGATTGGGATGAGCAAAGGGGAATGCTCAGGGAAGAGGGATCCCTTAGCACACCTCAGACAGCCCCTGCCCAACAGCCAGACAGACCCAGCCCTGCTGGCACTGCACCCACCCATGGGTGCACACATAGCAGACAAGGACAAAGGCTCGGCAACCCACCACCATCTACAGCCTTTTTTTTGGCAGGCACCCAGGGATGGTTCAGCCCAGCCAAGCCACACGGTGCCCAGCAGCCCCTGGATGCTGCAGGGGAACCAGGGTCAACAGGCCACCCTCCCCAGCGAGGTGGACATGATCGTGCTGCTCACCCTTGGAGCAGGAGCAGGGGACCTGTCTCCATTGCTGGTGCAGATGCAGCCACCTGCCTCCACCTCACTGCTCCATCCTACATCTGCCCCTGGGGCCAGGAAAGGATGTCTCTGCCAGCCAGGCCAGCACTTGGAGGGAGAGGGAGGGACAGCAGAGAGGGATGGGACCAGGGACAGGACTGCAGGATGGTGGCAGGGGTGAGAGTGCCAGGGAATGGGCACAAGGGTGGTAAGGATGTAGGCAGGCAGCTGAGGAGCCAGGGAAGACAGGAGGAGGAGGATTTGCAATGGCAATGATGAGCCTGGATACACGGAGGGGACGTGGGCCAAAGAGGATGGGGAGGGTGCAGATGGCACTGGAGGCTCAGCAGGAGATACAAGGGACATCCCACACCCCAAGGGTGCAGCATCAAAAGAGCAAACTTGTAAACCCACAGCCCGTGGAGGTTTCTAAAAAAAACACAGGGGTTCTGTGAGAGCAGGGACGGTACATCCCTAGGCACCCCCTCTGCTGGCTCTCCTCTAACCTGTTGTTGTGCCTCACAGCCACTGTGCCCCGCACCCCAGGGACAGCTGCATCGCCCCGCTGCCTCCAGCAGGACTGTGCTCTCAGCGTCCCTGTCCCCAGCTATGCTGCCCAGAAGCTACCCCAGACTCCCAGCCCTGTCCAATTTGACAGCTCCTTCCTGGCTCCCCAGGGCTTGCACTCAAACTTCTGGGATCAGATCAGTGGAATGGGGAGACAGGCACTCATTTGCCACTGTGCCCTGCTCTGTCCCCAGGGGATGAGCCCGCCAGCTCCACCAAGTGCCTGGATGCCAGGCAGAGCGTGGGACAGGCACCGGCGCTGCACCCCGGATGGCTCATGCCCACCCTGAGGAAGATGTAAGAGATGCAGGAGGGCAGGGCGGAGGTGGGGAGCAGAGCCAAGCAGGGAGAGCGGGAGGGAGAAACCAGCTACAAATAATTTAAAGTGAGATTCACGCACGGCTGAACTGATGGCAGAAGAAGTGGGAAAAGGAATGAAAGATTAAAGGGGTCTGTCACTTCAGGTTACAAACAATGATCCTATGAGCACATTGCGTTCTCAGGCACGGCAAGGATGGGGCAGGGCGCAAAGCAGAGACCTGGTCCCCAGGGGTCAGCTGCATTAATGCCTGCAGCACAGAGCCGGAACCCCTCGCTTCCACTGTTTGCCTCTCCTCTGGCTCCAGGCTCGGGAGATGCACCCAGCATCCTTGCTCTGGTGGCTGTTTCTGTAGCAGCTGTAAGGCAGAGCTCAAAGCTCCAGCTCTGTTACTGAGGGACACGAGTGGGCTGGAAGCAGGCCAGGACACCAGCCTCAAGGCTTGCTCCACACCAGAACACCTCCCAGCAACAACATGGGATGGTCTGGGTGCTCGGGTTGCATTATGCACCTCTGCTGCCAAAACAGGAGTGCCATGAGGTGCCCGTCTGCTCTGCTGCTCCAGCCATACCTCTGTCCTTCCCTGGTGCTGGTTCTCCATCCCAGGGAATGGAATCCCACCGGTGTTGGGAGCCTGGACTGAGCCATACCCAAGAGCTCAGGACTGGGACAGGAACCCAGGGGCTGTGGGAGTCCCCACACCCATCGGTCACAGCCCTGACAGCGAGAAAGGCTGCGGTGGCATCTGAGACACAAGTGAGCTGCAAGTCACCAGCCACCACCAGACCTGGTGGGCTGAGGGGTGGATGCAGAAGGTCAATGCTCTCCACTGCTGGAGCTTCTCACCCAGCCTGGTGGGACCCAGCGCAGGGAAGCTCGCTTGGGTGTGTGAGCAACTTGAGCCAGCAAGTCGGTGTCTCCTGCCGCCCCAGGAGACTAGAAATGAATTGCATTCCTCAGAGGACCTGGAAATACCTCGATGCTTATCAGAGCTGACGGTCCCCACCCTCCCTGCCAGGCCCTAACCTGGGTGCTGCTCATGGAGGGAAGAGACACTGCCCTTCTCCAGGCACCAGCGTGCCAAGAGGGGCCACAGTTGCTCCATGGCAGCACCACAGCCCTGATGCCACACGTGCTCCAAGGTAGCATCCCCTTCAGTGAAGCTTTGCTCATTTGCCACAGACACGAGGGACCTCCTGGCACCAAAACGCTTCTGTGCTCCACTCTCCAGCCATCTTCCCACCTGCTACAGCTGCCTGGGGGCTCCTGCCACCGCATTCTCTCAAAGGCTTGTAAGCCTCAAGCTGCCAACCTTTCCTCTGTGAGACTCTCCTCACAGTCCCAGGGAGAGACGATGTAGGATGTGGAAGGATGTTCGGTGAAGGGGGGGCCGAGGCACCTCTCAGCTAGGCATCAAGCTAGGAGATTCCCAAAGGGGGCAGGTGAGCAGCACCTTTGGTAGTTTTCACCTTCCTCAGGAGCTGGAGGATCAATGCATTTGCGGGGCACCTTGCCTGTCCTCAGTGACCTGCCTGCCTGACACTGGCACCATATTGTCCTCTCCTGCCCACAGTCTGGGGCAATGGGTACTTAGAAACTTGCTGAGGCCCAGGCTTCGAGAAGGGTACTTAGGTGAGAAGATAGATTTGAGTCCTACAGAAGGTCCCATCAGGTCACAATCTTCATCTGCACCATGCAGGGCAGCCCCGCTGCACCCCCAGAGTCCGCTCCTGAGAGAGAGAGTATCAACTGAGGAGGCTCTGACACAGGCAGAACCAGCTATGCCTGAGAGGGAGACAAGGAGACCCCGGCACCAGAGCTCAGCAGACCATGGAGGGCTAGGAGAGCTCTCCCAGCAGTGCAGGTGGGGGCTCTGCGAGCAGGCAAGCTCACAGAAGAGACTGTCTCCCTGCTCCTCGGTGCCACCATGTTCTAGGGTCCCACAAAACAGAGAGCCCTCAGCTCTCTGCACTGGGGACCCAAGACAAAGGCAGGACGCCAGGGTGATGGGCTCACAGAGCTACGTCCCATTAGCTAGGGGCATTTCTGCTCACCATGATGCACTGAAACACCATCCCCAGAGCAGGAGTGAGCCAAGATGCTCACTGCGTCCACCAAACTGAATCCTGGAGCATGGCATCCACATTCAGACCCACCAACTGTGCTGCACACCCATGGCACTGCTCCAAACACCAGCCTACACCACATGGGGGGAAAATGCCAGAAAGCGGTGGGGCCTGGAAGGAGCCTTGGGAGCAGCTGGGTCTGGACAGTGAGGAGCAGCTCAGGACATGGGCCAGTACAAATGTGCATGGAGAAGAGCCAAGCTCTGCCACAGCGCAGTGCTGCTTGGTCTGGTAGACCTTGAGGTTTCCCAGGCTCTGTCTCGTCTTCATCCGCGAGGATGCTGAAGAGCCGGCCTGGTCCCCTGGGCCAGGGAAGAGCTGTGCCCCTGCACAGCTCCCATGTGGAGCCCATGAGGGCTCCTGAGAGCAGGAGCTGGGCAGAGGAAGAGGAGGGAGACCATCCAGCCCTTACCTCTGCTGAAGATGATGCTTTCGTAGGGGATCTTGTTCTTGGTCTCGAGGCTGGAGCAGTTCCAGCGCTGGTCCCGGAACTGGTGCTGGCACTCATGGATGGCGATCTGGATGCCCTGGATGGCCGAGGCAGTGACGTCGGGGTGGCGTACGCACACCTCCAGCTGCCGCCGTGTCAAGCCCGGCAGGGTCAGGCACACCGTGTTGGCGTTCAGCACTGGCTCCGACGGCAGCTTCAGGCCCAGGATCTCATTGGAGCAGGAGCTGGCGGGGGGGAAAGGGAAAACAGTGAGCTCGGAGCAAGCAATGTGCCAACCACTTGCTTCCCCTTCGAGGAGGGGGAAGAGCTTGTGGGGGAACGCACATGGGGAGGGAGATGCTTCTTAACCCACATTGTGCCTGCTGCCTGTCAAGAAGGCTGGGAACCCCCTGAGCACAACATCAGCTCAACCAGGCAGAGATGCCCCAGCAGCACTGGGGCTACAGTCCTCTCCAGCCATGTTGGCACAGCCTGGACAACTCAGTAGCCTGTGCCCAGTGGCAGATAAATTTGTCCCTCTTGCCTCTGCACCCCAGTATCTCCCAGGGCTGCACCCTCTGTGTGCTCCCCCAGGGATCTCCTGCCCTGGCCACGCAATGCTGACTCTCGGACTCCCCGGCTTGCCTTCCCCAGAGAGCGTGGGTTTACCCCTGGGAGAATCCAGAGACCCCGGTGCAGGAGACCCATCCCAGGTCTGGCTCCATCCTTGTTGCTGGCTGATCCCTTCCCTGCATCTCCCATATTCCCATGGCACTGCTGGTCCTCACAAGGGAAGTAACCAGAGGGACGAGCCTTTTCCTGTCACTCGGCTGGGAAATTCGGAGCCGAGTACCCTGCCAAACACCCTCAAGCTCCCAGCAACAATCCCAAATCCACCGTCATCCCAGCCCCACCGGAACTGATGAGCACAGAGACCAGCAGACAGATGGGTGCAAGGGGAAGCACATGGTCCATGACAGGGGTAGAATTACTTATACAAATGGAGATGCTGCCTGGGCAAACAGGGCAGTAGATGAAGTGTGGGGAGATGGACAAAGCATGTCCAGAGAGAGGTACCTGGAGCTAAGACAAGGGAACACAGGACAAATGGATGCAGAGAGGGAGATGGAAGGGGAAGAAATGTTTGCCCAGCTCCTGGAAATGGCTTGAAGGACCCTGGGATCCACAGCGTCCAAGCAGAAGACCTGCAAAACGAGCAGCAGGCAGCGAGATGCCCAGCAGCATCCTGCATCTTGCAGCAGGGTCCATCAGGCGCTCAGCACTGCCGCACTCCTTGCTCAGGACAGCTCGGTCCCTGCTGAGAGCTCTCTCTGGGCAGGGCTCCTTCTCCCCAGGGACAGCCAAGAGCTGGGTCCCTGGGAGGAGCAAGGAGCTTGGGGCCCTTTGAACCTTGATTACAGAAATGAGTCCTGGAGGAGGATGCTGGTGGAAGGACAGCACCTGCCTTATGGAGCAGCCAGGTCTTGGGGAGAAGGGTTACTCCTCCTCTGCTCCCCCAAATCCTGCAAGCCTGGTGCAGGTACGTGGACAGAAGCAGCTCTCCAGGGTCAGGGACTGACTTCTCAAGCTCAGTGCTCACCCAGCTCTGGAGGAACAGCTCAGCCCCAGGGTCCCTGCTGAATTACAGCTTGCTTAGGGGGGAAGCGAAGCTGTCAGGGTCAGGTTGCTACTTTCTCCAGCTTCCCACGAGTGTTTATACCCACCCCACCACTTCCACAGACGATATGTGGGTCTGCCCCAGTGCAGATCCACAGTGACTCCAACAGGGAAAGTCGAGGTGGAGGGAGAGCAGAGAGAAGGAGAGCGGAAGGGGGTGCATCCCTCCAAAGCCCCTACACATCTGCCCATCTCCCGCACTCATTCACACTGTCGAAGCAAGCCCTGGCTGACACAAGATGCAAAGCAGGTCCGCAGCTACCACCATCGCCAAGCCCAGCAGCTCCTGCCCCAAGCACTGCAAGGACCTTGTTCCCTGCCTGTCCTGAGCCAGCCACAGAGCCTGCCACCTTCTCCCCGGGCATCCCGGGGTGGGGGGGCTGTTATGGTCCTTCTCCCCATTGCACTGCAGGGAAACTGAGGCAGGGGCCCTTATTTAGGGCCCCGGCGAGCGGAGGGAAGGTCCTCCTGCCTCTTGCTCCACCCAGGGCTCAGGGTGGCCAGGAACCGGCAAGGAGCTGTCACTGTCACTCTCCCTAGGAGGACACAGCGCTCCCCCCAGCTCTCTTCCCCCTTGAAATCTGGATTTAAACTTGATTTCACGGTGACAAGCCCCCAGGTCACAGGCTGCAGCGGCTGCTGCTTTAATTAATACAAGTCCCAACGTTAACAAATTATATTTAAAGGGGCTGGAGGGAGGGGGAAGGGCGGGGGATACCCCCCCACATACACTCACACCAGCACCAGGGTTAACCCCTGGCTGCCTGCAGCGCACAAGTTTGGGAGCAGGCAGAGGGGAGCTGCCAGCCACCCGGGGGAGATGGAGACGGACAGGGGTGGTGAGTGTTGGGGGGCCGTTTTCTGGAAGACAAACGGCCCCCTCTTTCCCCCCCCCCTCGCTTTTAGGGCTGGGTAGGGGATCCCCCGCACCGGTGCGTGCCCCTGGGGTGCGGAGCCCAAAGGCACCCATCCAGCGGGCACCGTCCCCCCCGTCAGTGCCATCCCCCCCCGGCATCCCCCTGGCCTCCGCGGACCCCCGGCAGTGAGTCCCGTCCTCCGCCCGGGGAGAGCGGGGAAACTGAGGCAGGCAAGGCGGGCGCTGGGGAGGCTCCGGCCGGGGAGGAAGGGGGACAACC